TCACTCTACCATAGAGAGAGGGGAGTTGAATGGTATCATTTTAAGACGAAGGCTGACACCAGCAATTAAGAAAACATATTACTCAGTTAATCTTATGATTGTGGAGAAAGAGAAACACATGCCCTACTAAAAACCTAAACACTGTATCAATGATTGCGTCACATCCCATTGTGTCTATCGAGTTACATGTGTGTGTGTGTGTGTGTGTGTGTGTGTGTGTGTGTGTGTGTGTGTGTGTGTGGTCATACATACATACATAGGGAGGAGTAATGGAGTCATGCAGTTGAGGGTGAGAGAACACATACGTAAATGGCTTCAAAAACAAATGGAGTGTGAGACCTTGATAAACGCTGGTGGGAGACGACTCTCTTCATCTATAATTGAACATACCACAGAAACAGGTCACAAAATCAATGTTTAAACAGCACTCAACATTTTATATAGAAACGGTCAGGGGTGTATTCTAAGGTTTATGGAAGCCGTAGGCATACACAAATTGGAACCAGGTTTATGTGTACGAAAGCAGTTTGTTCTCACACTACACCTACTCCTTGGTAAGCTTTGTTTCCTTACCAATATTAGTATCAACTATGTCACTTTTTTGTTTGTTCTGATCTTCCCTCATTTTTATCCCTTACTTATCTTAATTGTTGTATTTGTCCGCCCCCGTTTATTCTCCGGTTTGATACAAATTGATTTGACAAGTAAATGCGTGACGAGATTGCCTGAAATGTATTGCATGAATTCACCACATACATACATACATACACACCTACATACATACATACATACACACATACATACATGGACACACACTGTTCAAACAAACTTCGTCTTCTAATTACGCTACCTAAATTCATAAATTGTATTGATAGTTTCAAGCACAAATGACTGTGACTGTTCTGGAACAGAATCGTTACTACTTGTACTGCCTTTCTGATAGGCTGAAACTCACCATGTGTGTCAAAGTATAAGCAGATGTAAGCATTTTCAGTAAAACTGAAATGTCCCATATTAGATTTGTTTATTTGATATATACCCTACGGCGATACATTATTATTTACTAGATGACGACGTTTCGAGCATAAACTATTACTGCTCATAATCATGTCAATGTAATCATAGAGGATTTTCAACATTTGATTTACATAATCCTGTCACCTCACATTCTTTGCTTATGTTGGTAGTTAAATTTTTCACAGCTCTAGTATAGGTGTTGGGTCATTTCTGTTACATGTGTTGGGTGTTCGTTGATTCGATGAACAAAGATTCAGTAAGCAGTCTCTCACTCCTAATTATATTAGACTTGAATACAGTAGTTTTATCCCACCCTATTGTGTACTTGAATGCTAATGCATACACTGCAGTAGCTGAGAGTGTTTTCTAGATCAGTGATCCTATTTGAGTCTGCCACTGTATATTTAGCTGAATCCCTATGCTCCAGTAATCCAATAGACCCCGACTGACTGGTTTGACCTATATGCTTGACCTCAGTCACAGTCATTGCATGGGATTTGATGGATTAGATTATTTTCCTCAACTGGTTCCGTCTCAAATGTATGATTAACAACATCTACTTCATAATCTGTGAACTGCAGTCAGTGGGGGGGGGGGGGCGTGGTCGATCCCACTGGGATTCCGTTGACCATTGTATGTATTGGTCTGCAGTTTAATGTGATCCCTACATATGAAAGACAGTGTAGGTTAACCAGTGGACTGTCTGACATCTAAAAGTGAATTTTTTTAGATTTATCACATCGGTTATATCAACGAAGTTAAGTGGATAACTCCACTCGATTCCTGTATATTTCTTTCACAAACACAGCGTACAAATGCTTAATATTGAAAGCGATAGATTTCTTTGTGTGATTTGTTCCAGAAGTTTCTTCTGGAAGATCAGAAATCGTGTTCTCCTGACCAAATTTAAGCAATACACTTTGAGTAAGAAAATGAAAAGTTATTTGGCGGAAGAAGCAATAAAGACGTTGAAGGGCGGATTTTAGCCTTCCTGAATACACTGAAGACTCATTGAAGTCTGGAAACAACAAACTTTCCTATCATAAGAGTAGAATTTGGGCACTGTGGTGGGTTTTGATTACACTACAGTTCTCGTGGGTCTGTGACTCTGTGGTTTAAGGATATGCCTTCCAATCAATAGATCTCGGGTTAGAACACACACCATCCCACCTGCCGAGATTTGGGAAACCAGGCAGCATCATTATCTCTCAGACAATAGGTGTGGCTCGAGGTTGCAGAGTGCACAATGGTTGTGTCATACAGTGATAGATACTGTATCATTTCCAGTTACATATGTTACGTAACGTCTTGATAGATAAAGCTTCAGTTATCGATCTTTATCTCCACCTACCTATTTTATTCCTTAAAATTGTCAATCTATCCCATCCTATTGCTTGATTGTGTAGGACAGCATGAATGGTTACGGTTGACCTCTGCTCCAGATTTCTTATCTTGTTAGCGTAGATTTTTGTGTTCTACTAGCCCAACTGAACTGCGTCGTCTATAATGAACTTTGAATTCGGCAGACAAAGTCAAAAAGCTGCTCAATAGGTTTGACAGAATCCTGTAGCTGACGAATTTTTCCTCTAGTAAGTTTATAGGTTTAAATGCCGTTGTAATCCCATCTCGGTCTTATTAGGAATCCTATTTAGGGAGTCTCATATCTCTACGTCATATGGTGAGACTATGGAGTTTTTACAACTCTTCTCCATAGTTTCACTGCTGTAATTGTTTGTTCCTGAAACTGGATTATACCTAGGATTTCTTCTTATTTCCCGCTGTATGTTCCATATAAACCCATAGGGGTAGTTGCTGAGTGATAATGAACCGTTTAGATGTCACATTTCTTGATATGGATTTTTCTACCTGAACAACTAGTTTTCTTGCTCTGTTTTACCGAGACATTTAACCAGTTCTACCTTAAATGATATTAGATAAGATGACTTAAGTTCTAAGTATCCATTAGAGTGTAAAGGTCTTCAGCAGACACTGGTATCTTAGCCTTTTCTTTCTCTGATTTTGGAATCCAAGATAGTTCGCCTTGGTTGCGTTTTAGATGATATGTGAGTTCCTAAATACTCATAAATACATCTTCTGCAATCGCGGACATTAGTGACCCCATGAGTACTCCTATCTGTTTGTGAAATTTTATTTCGGGTTGATATTCATCTCCGTCTCACTGCCGTTGGACAACCGTTGGAAACCTAGGAGAACTGAACAGCTGCCTCATCTCAGTATGCAACTCCACATCAATGTCCACTCATGACCCCGCTGGGGATCAAACTCAGGACCGTTAGCCACCGCGGTCAGCACGTTACCATTAAACCACTGGTTTGGAATCCAAAGATCCACATTTCCTACTTCCGTTAGTTCAAGATACAAAGTTACCTCTATCCAATGCCGTCTTTCATTAACTGTCTTTATGCCTGACTTGTGTAATTTTATCCTGGAACTTTGCGACAGCAGAAGTTAGATATAACTGAACATCCCAGAATAATTTCTTTTACGGATACCCTGTTCTTTATTGTTAACTGTTGTTCAGTGTGGCGCTCACTTCAAACTACCTCAAGAGACAATATTAGTCAGTGTAGTAGTGTAGTGGCTAATTACATCAAAGCTAAGCACTTTTCCATCACCTTCTAACTACATGTCCTTTATCTTTTGTTCTATTTCAGAAGGACTGATAAGTCTGGATTCTGTCTAATATCAAACGTCATCCCTTATCATAAAATAGGTTGACCTCTATGACCCATAGACGACTTTAGAAACTCCGTAACCAATAATCTACCCAACTACATTTAGCGCTGACATCAGGCTATTTCAGGAATTGTTTCCCATCTTGAACTATCAGATCTTACGAAATAAAACAATGACTAGAAGATAGGCAGTTAGATGATGAAAAAATAGTTAGTTATGAGGTAGCAGTGCACCAGTATATACAATCCAGCCCTACATGAGGTCAGTCAAGCCTGTGACTGCAACACTGGGTGACGCTAGTTCGAATCTCAGGAGGAACAGTGATCGCGTTGAGATTGTAGATACGCCCCGCTGACTAGTGCCAACTAGCAAGAAACCCATTTCCGAGGTTTTCTGCCGATTGCCTTCATCCAAACAGACAGAATGAGTAGCTATGGGGTCGTCAATATTCTCGATTGCAGCTGATGCATTTATGGACGGTTGGTACTCAATATTTATCGTGGTAGTGGATTAGAAGTGGCAAAGAGAAGATGCAGAACAAGGAGACGGGAAAAAAAGCATACTAACAATAGAAACACTAGGAAAAGGGGGTTGGAAACCCCTACAAGGTTACCAAAACAGTGAAAGGACCTCAGATTCTTAACACGTCTGGAAGAAGACTGACGTTTAAACCTACTAACTCACTAGGGAACACCGGATATAGACTGAAGTATCCTGTACACTCTATTAGTATTCAGCTAGGACAAATCAGACTCACCAAGCACAAGAAACTTGTTGGCACCGGTCAACAATGCGTATCTGCAACCACTACTCTTAATTCCAACAAATAGTAATTTTGACCATATTAAGCTGATCACATATTGATTCGAAATAGGTGTTCAATATTTTCACATTTCTGGACCATTGCTTAAAGGTTATCGACTTATTTTGTAAATTTCTTTAAAATTTGATTATTTTTACTTGATCAGAGAGTAGAATATTAAACTTTTAGTATATGACAATTTTGGATACTTTGCTTCTGAACAGCCTGTCTCAAATAACACATGAGACGTGTACAAGTATGAAAGTAGAGAAAAGCATCTGTATAATTTTACCTCAAAAATTATCCAATATAAGTGATCTACTCTGAGATGTATTTATTTTTCCTCATTCACTTGTGTATATTGAAACTATTCAAAATATAAATCCACTGAATTTGTTCGTTTTTGATTGGTTGAAATTTCCATTCTCAGGTTAGGATTATTCAACTCTGATTGGATCGCATTTTGAATTGAAAAATCAATACATTCATATTTCCAAGTTAGCATACCATTTGATACCACTGATACTACTAATACTGTTACTATTCCTACTGATGTATAGGATAAAGGGGACATTATGGAATTTCCTGATTTAAAGAGGCACGATTAATAAAGAGGACTGGGGTGAGGAGTAGTAACCACAATAAATCAGGAAAGAAGGAAGAAAGATGGATAGAGTAGGTGGGGAGAAATTTTTCTCTACTTTCCTCCATTTAAAAACAGGTAAATATTTCCAGTATTCTTACTGGATCACAAACAATCTATTTCCTTACTGAAAAGAACATGCAATCAAGATGTTGACAAGGTTTATCATTAACATTACCTACTTGCTATCTATCTCAGCGACAACTGCTACTGTGATGGCTATCAATGTGAATATATAAAAAACTGTAGATTCCTCAACTAACCTATAAATCAAAACAATTCGAACAATAGTTTAACGGAAAAAGGGTTGAAAGAGTAAATTTGGAAAGAAGAAAGCTGTAAACAAGAATTTTTATCTGATTTTTGTACAGGACATAATATATTTCATAACAAAATGTCTCACATGAAATTGCTGAAGGATATGCAGAAGAGGTGAGATACAGAGTAAACAACTGTTTTCTTTAAATATCTCTACTATTGGATAGATCCTTAAATTTCCCAGTGCATGTGTACGCGTACACAAACATACACTCACACACAGACATCAACAAACATTTATGTATCGAAGTATATATTCTAAGATTGTTAAGATACCTTCGAATATCTTCAGTAGAATTCATGGATCTTTTGCCTACAGTCTATACAAATCGAATGGTTTGTCACAGTAACGGGAATAGTGTCAGTGTCAACGGAACTAACCCAGAGACGATTGGCGCTATCCATGAAGATGGTGATCAGGAGGACGGAGATGATCAATTATCTACAGAATATCGGCGAAGTATATGTGGATTACATCATCCTCACCACCAACAACACCACCATCAACACCAAAATCATCATCATCATCACACTGCTGAATATCAATATCATCATGGTCAGATAAAACTACCGCCTCATTTATCAGCACTCCCTAATCCCCTGTATTATTACTTACACTCATTCTACATAAATCGTGTTGAAACACGACGTCAGACAATAGCCAAGACACTGCGTGAAATTGTACAGATTGCTCAAGAGATACTACATGAAGTTGAATTACAAGAACCACGTTTCATTAGTACCCTCAAAGTCATCAATACTGGTCAACTGAATAGTTTAGAGATGAAACAACAGATTGATAATCATTATAATGATGATGAAAATCAATCATTTTCTACAAGTGCTAATACTACGAATAATAATAATAGTAGTAGTAGTGATAGTTTAAATAAAAAAATTTCACAAAATGGAATTTATTATGATGGTTTACGTGTTCTATCATCAAATCACTTTGAAATTACATTGTATTTAAATCAAATGGGTGTATTCAACTTTATGGATGATGGCAGTGTACCAGGTGGTGCTGTATTAAAATTATCAGATGGTCGTAAGCGTTCCATGTCATTATGGGTTGAATTTATTACTGCCTCAGGATATTTATCAGCTCGCAAGATACGCTCAAGATTTCATAGTCTAGTTGGACAAGCTGTACAAAAGTCAACCTATCGTGGAATTGTACGTATGTTAGGACAGACAAGTGAAGTGAAATTGTGTATACGGGATAAGTATATTTTACAAATTACTCCAGGATTTCGATGTAATGGTTTATGGCCAAGATCAGCTAGTCATTGGCCAACAAGTAATTATTTACAGAATGGTATAAATACTACTATTAATACTAACAGTAGTAGTGGTGGTGGTACTACCTCAGTGAATTCAATATTCAATACAATGGATTCGATTAACATATCGACTATGGTTAAATGGCCTTCAGGACAATTAATCAATGAGGTGAAACGTGAAGGATTTTGTCTACTGAGTCAAGAATCAGTTTATACAAAAGATAAACAGGCTTCAGCTGAAGGTGATGCCTGGTTATTAGACTTCTATGATGCTGAAGAACGACTTCTACTCAGTCATAATATACGCAGGCAATGTTTCAGTATACTGAAGACACTAGCTGATAGACACTTGACTGGTTTAGGCGGTGATTTAAATCTTCGAAATTCTACTGTCTCATCAACATCATCATCTATGCAACAACAGAACATTACTCCTCCAGTTATTCAAGAATATGACATTAAAACACTTGTCCTTCATGAGTGTGAAAAACATCCTGGAGATGAAGAGTGGACTCAGTATACACTAGGTGATAGGATAAATGGTATCCTATTACAGTTAATATCATGTTTACAACATCGTAGATGTCCGCATTACTTTCTTCCACATTTAGATATATTTCGTGGTTATTCTACACTAGGCATGGATATTACAGCTAAACAAGCATGGAGATTATTAAGAGAATTATTGACGTGTCCACAAGCACTTGAATACCTTTAAATACATGAGTAGATTCAGTATTCAATGATAAATGATAACAAAACCACTTCTCACTATATTCATTTATACAGTCACAATACGAAGTATATTTCTTTGGAAAATAAAAATGAATGTTTGTAGGCAGTTAGAACAATAAAGAGAAGAAATTTATAATATTTCTATAAATAAAAAAATGTAATATATCAAATAGATGGGTGTTACTTATAGATATAGTATATTGGACATATTGAACACACCATTGAACATTGGACATACTTTGATTTTAAACATTTATGAATTTGTGAGTTAAACAATTCGGTGATTTCTTTCTTTTTATTTCACAATACATTTATATACATATATATCATGCTCAGTGGACATTTTGTTATTAAGATGACATAAGATTTCGTTTTTTCATCTAATTGGATCAACTACACGTCGGTAATTTCAGTTTCACAGTGATTATGGATCATGGGAAGCAGAGGAATGTTGGATGTACTTGCATCCCAGTGAGTGGTACTATACCCACTGGAACTCAAGCCTGAAACCCATCGTTTTGAACGTAAAATCGTCATTCACTAGGTTACTAAGCCACAACAGCTACTCCTTGTGTGAAGAGTATAGTTTTGATGCTGGAGCCTGTAATTTTAGTCGTTAATTAGACGGAATTTATCAACGACTATCGGTATATGGGCTGCTTCAAAGGATGCCTAGATACTGCTGGTAATTTCACTTTGAAAGGAATTGAAGGCCTCTCTTGTGTTACCAAATAAGGAAGGAACATCAGAAACATCACATAGGATTCTCAATAAAGCTGGACATCAGGGTGGCATTCTGAAACCTACAAATTCACTCAGACACCAACTTCGTCGAATGGCTTAAGGATAAGATAGAACCAATTCAGAAGAATAATCTAATCTACCAGATTCTATGTAATGACTGTGAGTTCAAGTACATGGGTGAAATTAGCCGGTTAGGCTGAGTTAGATTAGCGGAAGGTAGGAATTTAGCTAAATATAGAATGACAGACCCCAATAAAGTTAGTGGTCTAGAAAACACCATTGACTATTTCAATGCATGCATTAAGACAATCACAGAATGGGATGAGTGTGATATAACCATTGTAGTTCAGTCGAATGTAATTAGATGGAGAGAGGGAGTGACTGCTTACTGAATCTTTGTTCATCGAATCAACATCCAACACATGTAATAGAAATGACTTAGCTATACTAGAGATAACAGAAATCTTACTATCCCTGGAAACATAACATTAGATGACAGGATTTTAAAAAACGATAGTTGAAAGTGATGTGATTACATTACCATGGTTATGAGAAATAGTTTATGCCCGAAACGTCATCCAGTAAATAATACTGTATCAGATTGTACATCATATCAAATAGACAAATCTGATATGGAATAATATACTTATATACTTATACTGATTTCAATTTGGCATTAATGATAGAATAGCACCAATCACTAGGAGGCCGGTAAGTCCAGGGGATCATTTTGAAATAAGACGAAACATGCTTCGCGTTTTTAAAGACTGTCAGTCATTATCAATCATTACTGCCAAAATATTAACGATAATTTCGTTCTAAAACGTTTTACGGTTAACTGATTCCAATATCTTTCATATTTCAATAAAGTTGCCAAGTTTACTTGTTAACACGATGGACTTCATTTTCTCTATTCTGGAAAAAATAATTTAAAATTCCCCTAGCTGACTGAAATATTTGTCAATGGTTAGCTAATATTAAGGTGAGATTGGGGGAGGGGGGTGGCTGGAGAAGTGAGTCAGTAACAAGTTCTACTCAAAACTTAATGTTTCACTGAACTATTAGCCAACACTACCACTGAAAGTCGTCAGTTAACAAAATATTATTATTATGTTTATTATCATTATCAGAGTATTAATAATTTTCAGTTAACTGTATTTACTGCTGTGCAATTTTAACAAAATGTAAAAAGTTTCCGTCTTGCAAATTGACGTAATCTATTAAAAGGCAAGAATAGAATTAGAGCGTTATGCTAGACGAGAAAATGAAGAAATTCCTTCATCTGCTTTACCGGTTTTCTTTTAAGCTTATCATAGTGAATGCAAAGATCCTTTACGCTAGAGCTTAATTCTATGTTGGATTAAACTAAACTGACAGAGAATTTCCTACAAGTTATGGAGTAGAGATTATTTAAGATGTCCTAGACAGAAATAATCTGATTCATTGTGTATTGAATATAATTACACCCTTCTATGTCAAAGATAACTTTGAATACTGGTCAGTAATATGAGTTATTCAATTTTGGAGGCTTGTGGGAGTTTATTCATTCCAAGTTTGTATTCGTCATGGACTGGTATCATGTGGAGAACTATTGAAAACATGCAATTACTGGATAGCTGTTTTGTCTAAGTATGCGATTGAGCAGTGGCACTAAAGACTCCACCAAGGACCGAATCCAGAACTTTCCAGGCTAGTGGCGAACAAATTAACTAGTTAGTCAATGTACGGTCAACCAGTTGGAAGTGAAGCGAATACCAACTTCAAATCTCGACTAGATATTATTTCTGATTTATTAGACTCAGACATGTAACTGACAGAAAGATGTTCACTGAATACCACTGATATCATCAAGACCATAAAATTCTGCTCAGAGACTACTCACTTCACAATAAAGGAAAACTATACAAGCAAACTAACGGTGTTGCTTTGCGTTCACTTATTTCACCCACAGTAGTTAACCTATTCATGAGTAAATTAGAAGAAAGTATCTTCACTCAATTACTAAAGCCAAAAGTTTGACTGAGATATGTTGATGATGCATTCGTAATTCTAAAACATGACTTATACTAGGCATTCTTAGATCAGCTGAGCTCTACATCTCCCAGTATCTACTCCAGATCAGAAAAAGAAACGGATAAGGGGGAACTACCTTTCCTTGTCAAGCGGGAAGAAAATCGACATTTAAGTATAACCATTTTCGGGAAGCCAACACATTCGGACAAATATTTACACTTCAACTCATCACATCCAATTGGGGCAAAAGATTCTACTGTATCGAGGCGTTTAAAGACAGTCCACATTCTAATAATGGATGGCAATGAAAGAGTTAAGGAATTAAAATATGTGAACAAGGCACTTAAGCTGAATAATTATCCAGAAGGATTCATTCGCGAAATAGAAAGTGACATTAAATTAGATCATAGAAGTACTCGTAAATAATGGGGCTCAACAGTACTCATCCCTCACACATCACACACGCACACACACACACATATATATCGGATGGAATTAGGAGAGTGTTCAACAAATCCAATATCATCAGAGTATTCTACAGGACATCAAACACATTGAAGAACACCTCAGTTCATTGAAGGACAAGATCCGTCTAGATTCACAATCTAATTATGTTTATAAAATAAAATGATCAGCATGCGATGCAACAAATGCATAAGACAAACATTCCGTGAAATCAAAATTAGAAAACCTGAACACTGAAGAGCTTGCAGTTCAATCAAATAAACTGAAAACATGTCAGCCACAGCTCTGAGTACACTTTATAATTTCAGGTGACAAGGTTGACTAATTAACAATATCAAAATTATTCAGAGAGGCTTTTGCAAACTATAAAGAACGTCTGTTGCGTAGCAGAATTTCTTCATATAAAGTGGAATCATAATTGTGTAAATAGGGAGGAATGAGGGAGGCAGTGAAACGTGGTTTGATCTGGTCTCAACCCACCTCCATATATTGACATAACCAACACACACACGCACACACACACTACATGTGGACATCATTTTATATTGTGCAATTCTGACGACATGGAATCATTCATGGAGGAGGATACTTGTCAAGTGTTATCATATATAAGCTTGGGTGGTATTGTAAATTCCAGTTTTCGATAACTTTCATAAAGCTGTTAGAAGCATTGAATAGTGAAACGTCAATTGAAACATGCTTATTTTGTTTTACATTCTCATCTGGAAAATGAATATTTCAAGTTGTAATTCATCGTAGACTGAAGTCAGTTGGAGGAACAAATGGAACGTAGGAGCACTGGACAGCTGTTTCGTCCCAGTATGGGACTCCCCAGCATTGCGCACCCACAACCTCGCCAGAGATTGAACCCGCGACCAGCACGTTACCATTGAGCCACTGGTTCAGAATCCAGTGGTCCATTTTTCCAACTTCTGTTAGCTGACGATATAGCGCAACCATCACTCAATATCATCGTTGAGTAACTGTCCTCATGACCATCAAGCTTTGCCCCCACCGGTCACGATTTTTCATTGGGACTTCGGGAATACCTCTCGAAGCTAGTCACCAATTAGCACCAGTTCAATTGTATTTTCAGGGAGTTGTGGGGATTTTGAAATATTTCAGTGTCAGTTTACGATGAATAATAACTTGAAATATTTCCAAATCCCACAACTCCCTCAAAATAATGAATATCATTTTGACCCAATGATAAAATCTTTTTCAAACCATCAGGTCTCAACTTGGTTTAGATTTTTAGAAACTGTGTTCACTTTTTAAATATACTCCTATCTCAACATGTGTTTTAATCTCATCTGAAAATTTTTGACACAAACAATTAAAGAGGCGTTAAATTTTTTTTACAAATGTCTTCTTAACTAATTATTTATTTTTTAATTCAACGTTCAACTTCTCAATGTCAACGCTTGTAATTTCTCGTGGTTGATTGGATCGAACTGATCGAAGTCTATTGGTATATAGGATCATGTACAGATCTTTCCATATTGCTTGAATGTTGATTGTGATAACTTGTTTGGTTGTAGCTAGCAGAAGAGTCCAGTTTGACGCACGTTTCATCCTACTTGGGACCCGTCAGTTGGATGTACCTGTTTCTGAGTGTCATGTTGTTCCCACTGAAACTCAAACCTCGTACCCATCACTTCAAACACCAAGGCGTTATCCACTATGCCACAGAGGAACGATAGCCACTTCTTGTACAACGGGTAGTAGTTATTACTATTTATTGATATACTTGCTATTCTCCTTTTTTTCATTGGATGGAATTGTTCGACGTCTATCTGAAACTCTAAATTCAGTTTTTATACTTCTTGTCACCAATCATCGATGATGATGTGCCATTATAAAGAAACTGGTACTCTACCAGAGATTCAAATGTACATCACTAAGGGTACAAGTCACAGTCAGCTATTTCTACCACTAATAAACATAGTTAAGATTCCCAAATTTACTTATAATTCAAATTGTTTTCATTAAGTTAGGAGATGCACTTCATTATTTAGCGGTCACATGTGTGACTATTTTTAATCATCACACAGTTTCCAGAAACCTGAAACGCTTAAAAAGGATAAAATAAACGAACAGAAAATTTCCTCCTAGACGATTTAGGTTACACAACTTGATAGTGAACTCTCTAACTTCGGTTCTGAGTAATACAGTT